TCGCATAGTAATTGAATCTAAATTTTGTATGGCGGACTGCATAATTCGAAGGGTAATTGGAGTGCGAATTACGAATATGAGAGCGAACTACGTAATTGAGGTGCCGTGGGAAAGCCATAGTACCGTTACCCGTACTTTTTTAATGCAATTAATAAATTTTAGCGTCCGATGTGGCGTAGTGATGAGAAGTGCGCGCTTCCACAGCGGTCGCTNCTCTGCTTTTATGTTTTTGGTTCTCTTCGCTGCAAAATTTATGCGAAATGTAAGTTCTACATAAAAATTTATAAGTTTCCGTATTAAATTAGGAATATACACATTGATAAACTTTACTTGTCGCACTCAGAAAATTCGAGCTTTGATATGTGAGCTGGTTTCGATGAATTTAAAAAAATTAGAGACGGCACCGATTTGCTCGTAATTCGCATAGTAATTGAATCTAAATTTTGTATGGCGGACTGCATAATTCGATGGGTAATTGGAGTGCGAATTACGAATATGAGAGCGTACTACGTAATTGAGGTGCCGTGGGAAAGCCATAGTACCGTTACCCGTACTTTTTTAATGCAATTAATAAATTTTAGCGACCGATGTGGCGTAGTGATGAGAAGTGCGCGCTTCCACAGCGGTCGCCCCTCGGCAGGCAATGGCAAACCTCCGAGTGCATTTGTGCCGTGGAAAACAGCTTCTCATAAAAATACAATCGCCGTTCAGGGTCGGCTTAAAACTGTATTGTATTTTAGTCGTAGATGGTACTCTTTAGTTAAAATTTTGGTACTATTAAATTGGGAAGTTGGCAACCGTGTACCGAATTTCGTGGCCTAACCACAGCTAACTTCATCCTTTTTCAGACGTAAAAGATTTTTCACGCGATTTCTTCACATTTTGACCGTTTAGAAATTTTGCAAGTGTTATTTTAATTATAAAATGGCGTAAAATCACTTTTGAAAGCATATAACTTTAAACTTAAACAGTTCGAGTTATTTAAACAATTCTGTGTTAATCGGCGTGGCGTAACCTTTTTTAGTTTGCCAGCGTGTCTCGCCCAGGCGAAATATAGAAGGGTGAGTGTCGCTACCGCCAGAAAAATATCTACTTGTGCTTTGTGCAAGCGTCACGCTTGTTTCATTATCAAATATATATATGTTAGATTTCTCGGTAACTATGCAATTTGTATAATATTGGTTTTAATTTTATTATTAACAGGCTGATCGTTTTTGGATTTAGAACTTACCAATTAGTTATCTAGTTTAAGATATGGAATTCCAGCAACCACCTCCACTACCACAAACTGATGTCTCTCAACCGCCACCTCAATTGGCAGCACCGTCAGCGCTAGCCACAAATGCAACACTATTACCATCACAATCAGGAGGTGGTAGTTCGTATGGCTCACATTACCGCAATCACTACCATCCACATCATGGCGGCCCTGGAAAACCCGGATACCCGTACTTCAAACCATTCAATCCTGGCGGTTTCCAGAGACCATTTGGAATGACACAAGATGATTTTGATGGCAAGCGTTTGCGAAAAAGCGTTATGCGAAAAACAGTTGATTACAATGCATCCATTGTAAAAGCATTAGAGGTATGTGAATATGTGCATACGTACATTTCATTTTGGTTATACACATTTAACTGGACAAGGTTTGTATATAAATTAATTGTACGTATTTTTCTTATGCTCATAGACACGTCTATGGACACGTGATCAACGTGACCGACATGCGCCACAACCCGAAAGTATCTATGTACCCGAACTTTTACCACCGTCCAGTTACATGGACAACCCATCAAATGCAGTCACTACTCGATTTGTCAAAACCGCTACGAATAAAATGCGGTGTCCGATTTTTACGCTCGCCTGGACGCCAGAAGGCCGACGTTTAGTGACTGGCGCCAGTTCCGGTGAATTTACTCTATGGAATGGGCTGACTTTCAATTTCGAAACCATATTGCAGGTGAGGCAAAAAAGCAGGTGGTATGTTGTGGTAAATCAAATTAACAATTTTATTCTGTAAGATTTACGTCGAAAATAATTTGTTAGTAGATAAAGTATATATTATTAGGTCTGATCATGTACTCTCCAGTAAAAATATCTATTAACTTGTCAGTAACTTAATTTCCGAGAATAGTTATCGATGAGAGAACCAGCCAAAAAAGTACCAAGGTGTTAGCATGACAAGTTGTTATTAGTTAATTGAAATTTTAATCAAAATAGTTTAACTTTTGCTATTTGCATTGCCACTTTTATCTGCAGTTTTCTGAAAATTTTGCTTTCTCAGTTTGCCCATTGCAAGTTTTTGCGTACGATAACACCAAAACATTAAATTTATTACAAATTATCTCGTAAAAAACAGATCTATTGTATAAACCTATTTAAAAGTTTAGTTTTGCCGAATGTTTTTACTTTTTCCATCAACTAAATATTTTTCTTTTAATTTTTGAAAATTTCTACTGAATACCATCACAACGGCAATCATTCACTTTTCAAACCCTGAAATGGATGCAAATGCATGCAACGGCGATTCGTTCTACTCAACAGGCTCATGATGTTCCGGTTCGTACAATGGTTTGGTCCCACAATGACAGTTGGATGGTAACTGGTGATCACTCTGGCTACGTCAAGTACTGGCAATCAAATATGAACAACGTGAAAATGTTTCAAGCGCACAAGGAGGCGATTAGGGGAATAAGGTATAGCTTACTAATTCCAATTCTTCTTCTACTTCTTTTACTCGTACATAAAATTACTTTTACTACCAACATCACTATCGCCACAGCTACAGTGCCCTCTTGTTATTAGAGCACAGTTTCCTAGTACATACTATAACTACTTTTTCTCAATATCTCGGTTGAACCCTACGGACCGCATTTAATATCTTTAAAATATTGCTCCTTTTCTCTTACAGTTTTTTTTTAGTATAAATAACAAAAATAAAATATTTTGTTTGAGTTTAATGCATTATATCGATAATGCAATTAAAATAATAATAATAATAATAAAGCACAATTTGCGTTTTTATGAGCATATATTTTCGCGGAATATTGTACTTCGGAGAGGCACTGTTAGTAAAGTTTTTTTTTGAATGTTGGTACGAGTAGTTGCTAAAAACTTGATTGAAAGTCATTGATATCAATTATTTTAACAATTCAATTATTAATAGTATTATTGTTGTTTGTTTGCTGTTGATAATAAAAATAAAGTTTTGTGTGAGTTTGGAGGTGTGAATGTGTGCGCGAGTGTTAAAATTGAGGAGTACCCAGACGAAAGCTGATTTTGCAAAATATAAGATTATTAAAAGAGTACATGGATAAATAGATATTAGCTAAGTTAAGTACTGCGTAGTAGAGAAATTCTAACGAATTCGAATTTAATTGTAAAAGATAGGGATAGAGCAAATATTTGAGGGTAATATACTTCATGTTATCTAGATCTCCGCAAATACATACAAGGGCTGTTCAGGATGTTGTGGAAATGGCCATTGGTTGGAATTGCACCTGCAAATTGTATGCTTGCTGCTATGGCAACCTGTGCAATTTATTGTTATGAATTACAAATCCTACGAATATGCAAATGCAAGAGCATATCAATGGCTGAGTGGAAGATCGACTTATCTCGGCAGCCAGTTCGAAAACGCCCTATCTCAGAAAACTTTTCAAGAACGCCCTACTTCATAATTTTATTGAAAAACAATCTATATCAAAATTTAATTCAAAAACACTATCTCAGAGCGCGTTCTTGAAAAGTTTTCTGAGATAAGCGTTGTTGAAAAATTTTCTGAGATAGGCCGTTTTCGAACTGGCTGCCGAGATAGGTCGATCTTCCACTCAGCCATCGATATGCACAAGATCCTGAACCGCCCTACATATTTACGTTAGAATATCAACAGGGATTTGAAATCGATTTTAAAAATTTTGCGCTGCTAGAGTGGCATCTTTTTTCACTAAAATAAAATTCAAAATGCCATAAAAAGTTTGTTGTACATTCAGGTTAACGTAATAGCGCAACAAATCTGTGAGATAACTTTTTCTAAAGCCAAAGTAAAAAATAAAAATGAAATATTTTAATTTTTATAGGAAAGTAATATTCAAGAATGATTACTCATTTATTAGCAGCTGATTAGTTTTTGCTAATGTCGAGCTCCTTAGGAATATATGAGGCCATGAGAGCCAGCATAGCACTTTTAACGAAGATACTACAACCGGACTGATAAGCCCTTGCAGTAGATTACTAGATGATCCTTTTATCTTGAAATCATGTACACATTTTCCTCAATATTTACCGCTCTTCCCATTATCGACGAATGAAATTTAAGCAAGGTCATGAACGCAGTAACAGCCGCATGCTCCCTTTTGGCAGGCCGTATAACGAAAAATTCGTTTGGAATTCTCTGCTTACCGGACCTAACATGCCAATTCCTTGTTCAATCCGTCTGAGCATTTCGAACATGCGTCAATTATATCTGGCTACAAAACACACTTAGACCCCAGTAAATGTGCGCTAACTTTCTGCCAACAGTTTATTGAGTGTCCAGGAATGGACAAAGCCAGACGCAGCTTACCCAGCAACTTTTCGCGCTTTTTGAGATTAAAAGCAGATATTTGAGATTAAAAGACCGAAAAGATATTTTGGCAAAAAAAACTTAACCAGAAATAATTTGCTTATAAACAAAGTGTAGAGGTACATAGCGTCGATGCCTTTGCGAAACCGCCCATTGACCAGTGGCAAAACCGCCCAAATCGCTGTTGTGGCAAAAATAAGATTTGGTAACCCTAAACTCCAGGCATCGAAATTTATGCATAAAAATCGTAAAATCTTTAGTAAAACCACAGACTTGTAAAATAATAGCTTGAGAAAATATCGCCTATCGAGACAATTAATTCAATGAAAACCCGTTTTTTGCTCTCCTGTAAAATTTGAGTGCCGTATGGTAGGCGGTTTTGCAAAGACATCGACGTCTGGAAACCATCCAGGAAGCTGCGCCTTTTTAGACATAAATTCCCAACATATGGACATCCTGGCATTGTAAGGGAACTCAAGAATAATCTCATTGCCATCAAACGAACAGCTTCAAAAAAGGTGTCAACGGTATGTAGGTAGCTTCCGTTTTCCATAGGCAATAACAGGTTTCAATGAACTTATACTTTATCAATATCAGAATGTTTGAGTTAATTCGCAAATGTAAAAATACGAAGCATCACATGCTTTTGTTTTTAAATCCTACTAGATAAAAAGGTTTAGCCCGCGCAACGTAATTTTTAAATTAGCATCTAACTTTGAAATAGAAATAAAAGGATGAAGGGTTTACTTTTTTTACATTTATGAATAAAGCCTTTATTAATGTTTTGTACAGGTTACTCTGTTTGCTTACGTATGAATGCATGTGTGGATGTGTGTGCAATTGCGTGCGTGCGCGTGTGTGTTACTAAATTACATATAAGGCTATATTACTAGTCTATACATATAACTAAAAACATATTTATTGGTAGGGATAAGGCCAATTTTGTTGCAAAAATAAATAAATAAAAAACGACAACGCGCCTTACTAAGATTTTTTTTTTTCATTGTTATTTTCATACAAATACTTTTGTTAACGTATTTAATCGATTATAAAAAAAAAAAACAAATGTACAAGCAAATTACTATTGTTACCAGAAACAAATTTTGAAATAAAGCGTTAAAGACTGATTTTTTCACATGCGATACCTGAGAGTACAAATAAAGCAAAGATAATTAAGAAAAATAATTAACGTTGACTTTTTTCATTGCAACACTACATACAAATTTGGAAACTTTCAACATTTTGGCTGCGTTTTCCACTTTTCGTTTACAATTTCCACCTGCTAGTTTGGCTTGCTGTCCGCCTGCTTGAATGGGACGCTACCATGCCCACGCATTTACCCTTAGATTGTCCCGGCAGCTTCGTAAAGTCGCCTAGTAAGCACTTTGTGCATACAGTTGCTTCCTAAACCTGGATAGAAAGGACAATTTCCTTTTTTTTTACAATCACTACGCGTAGAAGACATGTGCGAATTATTACATTCCATTATTTTTTTTTTTTCAAAAGCTAATGCATCTGCAGCTGCAAACTTGTTTTTGACCGTATGCGAAAATTCACAAAATGCTTAGAAAATAAAAAATGATAGTTCAAAAAGATGTTTGCCTTTTTATTCTAAATGTGGGTTGGGGAGCTGTTTTTGTTTATTCAAATATAATAAAATATTTTTGCTAAAAAATTCAATCCGACTTTTATTGCAATTGTGGCATACATTTTTAGGTACGATTATATTTTAGATGCTTTAATAAAAAAATTAAATGAATGAATGAGAAATAAATAAAAATGAGCTGCATGGTATTTTTTTGTAATATTTTATAGGAATAAATTTCTCATTTAGTCAAATTCAAACTGCATTTAAATTGGTGTATGGGCAAGTCTACATAGTGAGGAATCGCGAACTAGAACGTGGTCGAGGAGGTATTTCCTGAATATGGCGCTTGACACTTAGCAAAGCATAAAAAGAATTTATTTTTTTGATTCATACTAAGTAATAAATATTGTTTTTAAATAGATACGTTTCAATTATACTAACAACAACTATTATTATCATTAATCATAAAGTATATAAAAAAAAAATAATCTGACCTGCAATATTCACCTCAGTCAAGCTCCATAATACTGCCCACACACAGTGATACTGATCAGTGAAAGGTCCGGTCTACTCTTGTCTCGGCTTCGTAATTTGCTGTACTGTTATGTATTGTTAGTGTATAGAGATTTTTGCGAACTATGTATTTACTATATGCTGTTTTATGTTAAAGTGTCGTCACAAAAAAAAATATACATTTCGAATTTAACATTTTTAGCGATAACCATAATTTTAGAAGTACATATTTTATTATTTGGTATTGTATTTTGAAAATAAATTCTTATTCTTTTCTTCCGAATAATTTTGTTCTGGTGCATATTTCGTGTTCTGGCAATTGAAACAAATAAATTAAATGCCCACACATACATGCATTAAATATGTACATATAATGTATTGCATCGTAAAATAAAAAACAATCGTCGTATATCGTCCGCCTTCGACAATATCGTTTGAAAAACTTTTTTCCCAACGACTTGCAGTTTCAGTCCAACGGATAGTAAATTTGTGAGCTGCAGCGACGATGGCACACTGCGGATATGGGATTTTCTACGCTGTCAGGAGGAGCGCGTTTTGAGAGGTAAATATAATAAAGACTATTTGTTAAAAGAGTTTAGGATTTATGTAGATATTAAAAAAAAAAAAAACAAAAGGATAGTGAAGATAAAATGTTCGATTTCTCCGAAATTGTTTTCCTCTCAATGAATCTCGCGAATTCAATTTCTGACAGTACACAGTTGTTTTCTGTCACCCCCAAAATTTAAAAATATCGAAAATAAAGAGACGGCTCGGTGTCGGGGCTTTGAAGTTTTCCACATTATAGTTAATTGCTATAGAATCGTTAAAAACAAATATTTTTGATCGAATAAGATTATTGTCCTTCAGAGATCTGAAAAACTTGAAATTATAATGCATATAAAACTTTAAAATTTTATTATACGATTTTTCAAAACCGATAATCTTATCAGCTACATACATACAGCAGCCGTCAAAATAAAAGGACGAAAATACAAAATAATATTAATTGCAATTCCGTAGAAATAAAAATTTCAAAAATTGCATAAAGTTCACAAAAATGAATTAAACTTCAAAAAATTTGTATACATTTTTCAAACATTTTATTCAGAATGCTTAGAAAATTTTCGAAAATGCATTTAGTTTTGTTATAATAAAGTGTCAAGTTTCAAGTCACTAAAACTTACCGTTAATTTTTTATCGTTTTTTTTTTTCTGTTGTTGAGGGTGTTACGCATTTTCTTCCATGTAATAATATATATGTGTAGTGTATATAGAAATTTACATTATCTCTTGTTTAATTTGATTTGGAGACCAAACGGCGTTCATTCTGAAACTACATCATCTTCTGTCGGAAGAAGTAAGCCATTACCAAGAAATTAATAACACAAATGTATCGGACAGAAAGTAAACATCATCCATTTCTCGGTTTCTTTTTTCCTGACCCAATACGTTGTTCCGATGATGCTTCCAAAAGACATTAACTGCTTCACCATTCGCTCAATTGATTTTCAAAATACAGCCATGTGAAAAATAACAGTGATACAATATTTTGACGAGTTTTTACTATTTTCGTTACGTTTTTTTAATGTTTTTTTTTTTTAATACTGCTCAATATAAAGTTTCAAAGTTTCGAACTTTGTAGAAATATTAGGAAAATTCAACAAAACTTTACAACTAATTATTTATTAAGAATTTTTTAGTTCATAGCCCACAAAATTTTTGCACAAAAAAAAAAATTGTCGAAGATACTTTGTAAGTAAGACAAGTAATTTTTAAGCAAAAACCAACCCCACTTCAATTCTCATATAAAAATTTGAGAGTGCCGTTAAAATCTTCAGGATCTAATGATCGGATCTAAACCAAATTAGTATGGAACCACCTCTGAGGTACCACCTTTCCTTTAGAAATCAGTTAGCGTGGTCCAAAGTTATGCGGTAACATGTATGTACATAAAAAAAATTAAAAATTTTTTCCGACCAATTGATAACCTCCTCCTATTTTAAGTCGGTTAAAAATGCGTGACACCGCCAGCAAAAAAATAAAATATCGAAGAACAACGCGAATTCTTAGCAACTTGAAACTTGCACTTTATAGAGCTACCGAGTGTTTGAGTATCCGAGCATGTCCAATTCTACTAGAGTTTACCCCTTGAAGCTTCGGAAGGATTTATATGATTTCTTTATGAGTCGTATTTGAGCTTGCCTCATATCGAGATAAATACGGTAAGTTGAATTTTCAAAGACGGCTTGATAATAACGTGAGGTTGGCTAATCTTATACATTCTCTGGTGGGAGTTTAGTTGCTTTGAGCTAAAAAAAAAAACAAAAATATTTACTCATTCACTTAATCATTAATAATCAGATCAAAAAGTTATTAAAAATGTATTTTGTTATTAATAGAGATTTTTTTTGTTAGTGCGTTGAGATACGATAAATAAATTAATTTAAAGAGAATAATTATTGTTAATTTTTTTTTTAACCCTAGTTCGATCGAAAGAATTAAAATAAAACAGCAATTTTAAACAGCCATAAGCAAATCCATTTTGCATACATGCATATATACATATATGTATCACCATTTTATCTTGATTCATTAGGCTTGTAAATTGACGACATTTTCCACTTCCAGGTCATGGTGCTGATGTTAAATGTGTACACTGGCATCCGCAAAAGGGACTGATTGTCTCCGGCAGTAAAGATAACCAGCAGCCCATTAAGCTCTGGGATCCAAAGAGCGGCAGTGCGCTGGCCACACTGTGAGTTTAAAACATTGAAATTGCTATAACCTATTCTCACATCTTTTTTTTTTCGCTTCCACTTAATCGGCATTTAGGCATGCGCACAAGTCCACTGTGATGGATTTGAAATGGAATGATAATGGTAATTGGCTGGTTACCGCCTCACGCGACCACTTACTCAAACTATTCGACTTGCGTAATTTACGTGAAGAAATGCAAGTATTTCGCGGTCACAAAAAAGAGGCCAGCTCTGTGTCGTGGCATCCCATACACGAGGGTCTCTTCTGCTCGGGCGGCTCTGATGGCTCAATACTCTTCTGGAATGTCGGGTAAGTTGCCTGCAAATGTCAAGTTTTCTAGTTTTAAACCCCCTCGTTTGTTTGGCCTTGCAGCACCGATAAGGAAATTGGCTGTGTAGAGACCGCGCACGACAGCATTGTCTGGACACTGGCCTGGCATCCGTTGGGCCACATACTTTGCTCAGGTTCAAATGATCACACGATCAAATTTTGGACTCGCAATCGACCCGGCGACTTGATGCGTGATAAGTACAATTTGAATACGCTGCCTGCGAGTTTGGCGGCGCTGGATGATTGCGAATATGGTGAGTAATTAAATTTAGACTGTCTGTAAACTCGTCGTACAAAAATCAACTAAAATTTGTATTATATTTTTTTTTTGCCCAGATGACGCTGTCATTCCTGGCATGGGCCCCGAGGATAAAGTCGAATTCACCGAAAGTCTCACTGCTGATAAGGGCTTCATTCCCGGTCTTGATTTGGATCCGTCGCGGTTAGGCGATAAGAAAGTGCCATACAGCAAACCCATACCGCGCAACTTCCAAGCACAATGGGCCGGCTCTCGACGCCCCGAGGAAAGCAACTTTCACGATGAGTTGGCCATGCGCGAGCCCAAAGATACAAGCGGTTTGTCGCATCAACAGATTAGCGAGAGCGCCATTGAGGGCATGTTGGCCAGTGGCGTGCTCACCACAATGGATCCACAGGCTATTGTTGGCATGCTCGTTTATAATCGCTTCATACGCGTCCATCCCGACTCGCGCGTCATGGTGGCCATACGACAGGGTCCCGATTACTTGAACAATTATATCGATGCGGGCAAATTGGACGAGCTGCGCGATGTGGTCCCGATTCGCGACCGCTCCCGATCGCTGTCGCCCACTTTGGAGGGTCGAGAGAGTTCACCTCCTTCGAAGCGCTCACGCTTTGACAACCGGCAACATAGCGCCCAACTGGTATGCGTACGTGAGCTGCTGAGTTTGAAGAAGCCGTTTTTGCCTTGTCTTTTGCAGCTGAAGTCGCAACAAGCACCGCCACAGAAGTCAGAGTATGGCGATGATCCGCGCGATTCCCCTCAGCAACCAAACTTTCAGCAGCAGCAGTATCCGCAACAGCAGCAGTCGCCGATGCAACAATCCCAGAGCCGACCTAGTCCATGGGCCGTGGGTCCGCCCTTCCAACAACAGCAACAACAAACGCCTAATCCGTGGAGCACATCGCCCATGGGCGGTGGCCCGAACATCGCTCCGAGCATGGTGCCACCTCCCAACCAGAACGGCTTTAACGGCAACAATGGGCCCTTCAATGGTCCGAATTTCAATAATGATTATGGGGAGAACGGGATGTTTCCTAAAGGCGGTGGCGGCGGGTCAGGGCCGGACGACAACAGTGGCGGCATGCACACGACTAATATGAATATGAACATGAATAATAGCAACAACAATATGGGCAACAACAACTTTGGTAACAATCAGCGTCGTGGCAATAGAAGAGGCGGGGGACGTAATCGTGGTGGGCGGAATAACCGACGCTTTTAGATCAAGAAGTAAAGCTTCGAGAAAAAAAAAACAGCACCAACACAAATTATTCTAAGCTCTTTCGGGGAAAGGCGCAAATATGCTAGATAAATCGCAACGTCTTTCGGGCAGCGTTGGACAACTTTTTAGATTCTAAGTCAACATTTATGGCCCTATTTTGTATGGCGACTGGGGTCTAGTTGCCATGGCTACCAGTATCGCAAATTGCATTTTGTATAGCGATTAATCTCAGTATACAGAAAAGTGCACAAAATATCCGAATTTACTTTCTTGACGTGAACTTTTCCAAGTAATTGGCAAATTTTCTCCAATGTGTTGAATAATTTATGTGAACAAATAACAAAATTACCCATAGCGGGAAACAGAAAATTCCGCTACTAGACTCAGTAGCCAGTCAGTAGCCATACGTAATGCGAATTTTAGTATATTGGTGGCCCATCGGCTATCAGTCGCCATACACAATACAGCCATTATAGTGTAAATGTTAATGATACGCCCACCAAGTATGAATGAACACTACAAAGGAGTCACTCACAACCTGCAAAAAGTCAAAAAAGTAAAAGTGGCAAGATTTCGCGGACGCACTTGTTTCATAGTTGGTGGTATTCTGTTGCGTATAATGTATGTGTGTAGGTAGTTTGTAACCGTTGAACGAACGTACACATGCGTGTAGGTAGTCTATGCCCATGCTATGCATTAGCCGCATTATATTATAAATTAATACATTTAAGTTTTTCATTAAGTCATCAGATACAAATTATCAAAGCTGCATGCGTTCTAAGAAGAGGACGTATACCTCTTTAGCGATCGGCGTTGTGTGTAATAAAAATATTAACCTTGTATGTATGTATGAGAAGATATGAAAGAAAAGCTAAGCAATCATTGTTGTAGATTATTCGTTTTTAGCACATATTGATTGATGTCCTTTCAAAGCATTCATTTCTTATTTACCTTAATTTTGACTACCCTCATTCTTTAATTAAGAAATCATTAAACCCCGCTTATGTATAAATAGAGAACATGAATATGTAAAGAAAGGAAGAAATGCAACTTTGAGTATTTATATTTATCATGGAGAAGAAAGGGTTGTTGTTGTTGTTGTAGCGGCTACAACAACCCCGCCCAGATCGGTTGATATCTCAGTCGTTGTCAAGTTCCACTAACGGCAGCCCTAGCAAGCGTGCAGCCTCTATCGGGTCGGTCCACAAGGACAAAGCCGTTAGGGTTGTCGGGTTGTCCGGGCATGTTTCGAGTCATGTGGGGTCTCTCCGCATGCCGGACACTCATTTGGCACATCCTCATTCAATCTACTTAAGTAGGAGTTTAACCTGCTGCAGTAGCCAGAGCGAAGTTGGGCTATTGTTGTTCGTGTCTCCCGAGGCAGATGAAGACCGTCCGTCTCGTCTATGTCCAGTGTTGATGTGCCTAGAACGGCATTCACAGGTCTAGAGTCTACATAACTCGAGACTGACTCCCTGTGAATGCCGTTCAGGGCCAGTCGGTAGGCTGACGGGTCCCGAGGTTGCTTGATGAACCTCTGGACTTCGTCCGTCAGTTCATATAGATGCCTCCCCACGTGCCTAGGCGAGGGCTCCTCAGCAAGCAGCGGTCTGTTTGGGTGGCCTCTTCTGTGGCTCCCGATCAGAAACTGCTTGCAGAGCATTATGTTGTGCTCCTTTATGGAGAGCATTTGTGCCTCGTTGTGGAGGTGATGTTTGGGCGACATCAGGAAGCATCCTGTTGCTGTCCTGAGTGCGGTGTTCTGTACAGTCGTAGCTTCGCCCACTGCGTCCTACTAGTCCCCGGCGACCACACTGGCGCTGCGTAGTTTAAAACCCGCCGGCCGGCCACGACAGCCAGTTCTACGTACCGGAATGACTCATTCCCACGACAGCCGGTGTGTTTCGGCGATCTAACCCCGTTTAGGTCGGCGAAGTATCTCAGAGAAGAAAGGGTATTTAAAGGTGGTTGTAGGCGAGCTGCAATTAATACGGCAGTGTTACTTTTTATGAATGAGCTTCACGTTCTACGCGAAAGTTTGTGACTCTGTCTACATCAAGCGTTCGATCATCATTGGCAAATCAAAAGCAACATGTCATTTTTTACTGCGCAATTTCTGCAGCATTTCAAAAGATTTTCACTTGAGTATCGGCAAATATCAAGAAAGCAGCAAGCCTGCAATATTGCGGTAATAATTACCGAGGAAAATAAGTAATCCATTTTAAGCGCTTAGATAAGCACTAAAACATTGGTCAGGGATATTTAATATGCTCGCAAAACATCACCCCGAATAAGCAAATTCAAGTAAAAGCTTAAACTTTTCAGCCCTGATTAGTACGTAACTCGAACACACTCGGTTTCTTTTTTGCTTTGGTGTAAATAGGGGTGCGTTCAGAAATGCATCAAGTCAAAGCATCAGTTGGTGGGCTTTGAAATGGGTGGTTTTTATATTGAGCGCGTTTGGTAGCTCCATCCGAGAAGGCAACATATACTGGCATCACTACCCAGATGCAGTTAAGGTCAGGGGTCGAATCGTCACATACGATATCGTACTACTCGTCACGTAAAATCACATTTTTCGTATTATGACATACGTGAACGTACTCTTTGTCCCATTCAGCTTATACTGCCTGACGTATCACGTAATTTTCTTTCGTATCGTATTCGATCCGTGAACGGATGTTATAGTTCGAGCCCAGCCTAAAATGCCACTGTCAACGACAAATGCTCGACGTCGAAAACCTGCAATTACAATGGGCCGGTAGCATATAGTAGGAGAATCTGCTTCTACGACGCCTTGTCTAAAATTGACTCGGAAGTGAATTGCAGAACCTGCCGGCCTAAATAGCAGGGCCGACTCCAGCATTTATCAGCTTAGACAAGGAAGCATACGATGTTGGTCTTGCGGTGCACGGACCTAGTAGACAAAGTACGAACGAAGTAGTCAAGGGCTGTGGCTACCTAAGATCCAGCATTAACACCATTAAGGACCATTTTTCAGTGTATGGCTGTGGTTTTAAACGCCCGAGCTGGCGGGTTTAATTTAAGATTAGCCAATCAAATGTCAGCCAGCTGTTCAATTTAAACTCAGTTTACGTAATCTAAGTTTAAACTGCCATTGAAAAACTGGCTAATATAGCTTAGACCTAACTGTGGTGAATACTTCAACTTCCGTGTATATATCGGACTACTGCACCGTATTACAATTATATTTAACGTACTACTTACTTGATAAGTCCTCCAAGCGTTCAAGTCACAGGCAGCCCATCTTTTCACTCAACACTTATAAAATCAAAAATGTAAATTGAATAATACCCGCGAGACGAGAATTAGTTCCAAAGTTTTTAAATTATTTTTAGCGGTTATCGCTACGGTAATTTTCTCGGTCCACTTAACTTTCAAAAGTTAATATGTAGAACTAAACATTTATTTAATTACATATAATATAGTTGGAAATAATTTACTTTCATCTAAGTATGCTACTTAGCGATTTAGAAATTTTCCTATACATACCTAAACGGCTGTATATCAATTTAAATTCTAGTTAATATTATTGTTAGCATGAATTTTGTTTAAATATTAACCTATTAAACTTTGTCAAAGAAAACGGTTTCTCCAAACTCTTTGACCCGGCTAAAATTGGTCTGCTTCGCGTTCGTATGAATTGCGTCTTGAATGTGGCGAGCGATGTGAATGCTTGCGCACTCGTTCTTTACTGTGGCTTCGCTCCACACGATCGACCTCTTTACTAGCTAATGGTGAATTGACCGCAGTTCCTTCGGCGCTGACATTATTCGCACTCGATTTTGTGTCCACGTCATTTTCCGAGCTTGTCACAATGGCATTCGCTGCTTCCGCGTTGACAGCGTTAGTTAGGCTGCGTTTTGGATTATATTTGCAGTGCCGGAAGTTCTCTTTTATCTCTCGCTCTTCCTGCCGCATGCGATCTTGGGTGACCTTTTCAATTGTGCGTTTCATTTCTTCGGCAGAACGAACTAGTTTATCGGTTTCCAACACAATTTGTCTCTTTGCTGATGGTCGGTCGCCACGTCGAGACCAGGAGCGTTTCGAGCGCGTGCGCGATCGTGACTTGGAGCGCGAGTGAGATGAAGCAGATGTGGAGCATGAACGACGTGTAGATACTAGTTTCTTATTGGCACGTTGTTGTGCCGGACTCCTGGAACCTGTACGGGAGCGCGTTTTACGCGATTTAGAATCCTCGCGAGTGCGCGAAGTGCGCCTAGCTTTCGATTTTGATTCCGAACGAGGGCGTGAACGTGAGCGCGTGTATGATCGCGAACGAGAGCGACGTTCGGAACGAGGTCGACTGCGTGAACGACGTTGCCTGGAACGAGAATGGGAGGGAGTACGACTACGACTGCGACTGCGACTGCGGGAACGTGAACGACTGCGTTTGGAGTAGTGACGCTTGTGTGAACGGGAGCGCGAGTATGAGCGGCTCCGTGAACGATTTCTGCAAGAGAAATGGCAGAAATGGTAAATTGAAAAACTGAACAACTGTTGCTTTTTATTTCAGTTACCTAGAGCGCGAATACGATTCCTTACGATAATCATCCTCTTCGTACTGGTCATCGTCGTAATTATTTTTGTAATTGTTGTAGTAAGATGAATCGTAGCCACCTCTACCGCGTCCCCGACCACCACGGCCACGACCTCGCATGCGCGGTGCATACCCACGATAATTCATAGAGACTGGAAAAGCAGTAGGCTGCCGATAAAGCGCAGACATGCTACCAAATACTGGTGGCACATATGGAAACATTGAAAACGATTTCATCCACTCGCTGGCAGCTTCAGGTGGATAACCCGGCGGCAAGGTGCCTGGGGCCGCGCCACCAGCTGCGGCTAAAGCAGCTACAGCTTTGAATGGATTTAAATGATTCAGACCAACCGCAGGTAGTGCGGGCGTACCGCTTACATCGGTGGCGGTGGTATTAACAACAGCTTTTTTCTTTGCTTTCTCTTCATCGCCATCGGAGCTTTCGGAGCGCCGTGAACGGCTGCTCTTCAGAAGACCCATTAATGGAGTTTTCGTTTTTATTTCTTCGACTTTCTTTTTCTGGTCAGTGAGAAGTTTTTCAGTGGCCACTTTATACTTTTCGACCAATCGGTCTCGAAGGTCGATTCTGGACGCTTCTTTACTTCCATATTTGGAGTATTTGCCTTCATGTTTTAGCTGGTAAGAAAAAGGAATGGAAAAAATTTCATACACGTGAGTTGAAAGAGGTTAACGATATAGCAATATTATTGCGATTTCCGGGTACAAAAAAATATTGTTTTGCCTGTTAAATTATGGGGACGATTTATTCAGATGGGGTTAACGATAAGCCTGAATAAAAATCATATTAAAAAAACGTATTGAAATATTTGTATTCACCTTAAGGCGGTCGAATAACTGTTCTAATATCCGTATGCTCTCCAGCTTTCGTTGTGCTATCATCAATTTACGCTCCTCGATGCGTATCTTTTGTGAGATTTCAATTTGACCCTTCTCCTGTATCTTCTTAAGGTGTTTTTCCTTCCGTTTCTCTTCTCGTTCACGTTGCTTCTCTAATTCTTCTAATTTTAACTGTTCTTCTTTTTGCCTGTAATTTTTTTATTGGCTCGCTACTCTTCATTCTATTGAGTTTAGTGCGTATTTTTTTTAGATTAACTGGACTTTTACTGGTCTTCCCAAAAATCTTAATCTTAATTTTTGATAGACGTTTTTAATGAAAAATAAACTCTATAGAAATGTTAGTGTTCCTGAAGATACCAACAAATGAGAATTCTAGTCCGCCATTCTCAGTTGATGCACTTCACAATACACATAATAACAAAATAAGTAAAAATACATGGCAACTTATTAGAAAGAATTACTGAACGAATGCAAACCTTTCACGCTCTAGTCTTTCAAGCTCCTCTTTCTTTTTCTTTTCCCGCTCTTCCTCTTCACTTTGCACTTTCTGGATTAAACGCTTTCGTATCCGTTCCCTACGTTGCATCTGTGCATCGCTAAGGTGTTTTGACTTGTCAAAATTTACGCTGATGTTGATGGCTTGGGTTTTGTCTACGAATTTTCGAACCAATTTCATACCGTGAAACTCATCCATAGCACGCACAAATCCCATGTATTCGTCGAATTGAACGTAACTTTAAATTTAAATTAATTTTTTTTTTAGGTCTGATCAATGTCATTCATGTACTTACGCTTCGAAAAGCACGCCATGCTCGTAGCTGAATGTCTTCATGCCATTAATATCTGTGTTCATTTTGTTGCGATATGGATCACAAATTGGTATATCAACTGCGCGAACGCAGCCAAATTTTTCAAAAATGCGTTTAAAGATGCTTTCACTGGGCTTGACATTGTCATCGTTTTCCATATGCCTGGGGCAGAACCAGCGTATTGGCAAATGCGTAAGATGTATAGTGTCAGGACGTTCGCCAGCTTTCATTTCATCCATATTGCTGGCATCTCGAAAGAATGAATCCCAATCGTGTCGTGTAGGAAACTCATCCTTCGATTCAGTTGCACGCACTCGAAATGATTCACTAAAGCCAGACACACGCAGCGATACGCCATCGAGACGCGAAATTGCACTGCGCAATCTTTTGCGATCTTCCAACTCAGCTTCAAAGCGAATTACCTCCAATGTGCTTTTAGTTGCCTGCGGACGCGATTTAATAATAATAAAAGTGCATATTTTGAGAACAATTCAACTTACTTTCAACACAAAGAATTTATCCGGCTTCAAAGAGGCGCTTAACTTTTCCATTATATCCAAATGGGAAATCGATTTGCCCGTTTTATTAACGGGCAGTGACACTGATATGGTCATCTTGGCCAACGGCTTGAGATATAAGCTATGTGGCAGATAAAGCGGCACACAGTCCGTGACATTCTTTATATTCTGAATGTCGGTCATTTTTTAGCAAACGTTTGGAACGTTAATTTATTAATTATAGTTGGTTTTGATTGGTGGATGGAGTTAAGCAATATTTAATTACATGAAGAGACATTGGCTCGAAGGGAAAAAAGAAATATTAGTATATGAAAGTATCTAAAAATTGCATTTGGTTAAAAATAAAAGCTCTAGACGAGAATCACAATACAAAACTATAATGAATTCTTTTTATATTTCGCGAAAATCGTGATGCAAATCAGCAGGCCGTCAGAAATGATGGCGATCCTAATTATACGAGAAAAAATCTAAAATGCTAAATATTAATATTCTATGGAACACAACGACTTTTTATCCGCCAATTGGCTCTTTGCTTCTAAAAAGAATTATTTGCAAAATCTACTATATTCCGCGACTTTTCAATTAAAATGTTGCAAGACGAAAAAATGCAGTAGAGAAAATAATGAAGTTGTAAAAACTCTTGCTTTGAAACGGGGTAAATTGGGATCTAGAGGCACAGGGCGAGGCAGAGGTAAAAATATTTCAGTTACAGGGCGTTTTGTGAAGCTAAAATTTCTGGCAAAATCATAGGGCGGCACATGAAAAACGTAAAGAGCCGAATACACAATACAACCGTTTGGCAAAAAAAGATGGAATTTCTTTCCACTTTATTCAAGCCTTTTTTCAGTGTATGCCGGTTTTTGAAGGTTATAACGGCCGCTGAGATATATTTGAGTAAAAATTATAATTTTTTTGGATGTTCTGGTCGTCGCGTTGAAGCTTGACAATGATTTCAACATAAGAGGGTTATAAGAAAATCAAAATTTATGCTGAAACTGGGAATCCCTACGAAATAGTTGGCAGAATTTAGCGGCATAATCGCTGCCATACATTGTGAGCCAGAAGTAGTGATGGCACGATTAATCGAACAACCTTATATAATCGGTTATTTTCATTAGGTCAACTATTTAATTGTATCGAAAATTTCCTCTTGATTAAGCGGGCGATTAACCGATCAATTTTCAAAATAATCGAAAACAAATCATCAAAAATTTACTACTTTTCTCACACAATAGTGTATAAATCAGAATTACGTAACAAAATTGGCACCCTTGCCACTCAATAATATTAGCAACAATAAAAGTGTCCACTGTACTCGGTACATACATATGCATAATTTTACTAGTTGGGGGATTTTTTACATTCTTATTTTCTGAAAAATTTTTAAGAGATATTTTTGCAAAAACCGCAACACAAGTTTAACCTTAGTAGCAATTAAAAAATCACAACGCAGGTATACACATATTCTCATTTTATTTTTCAAATGCTTTGTTGCGAATTTTCTTCCATACGTTTTTTTTATGGAAGAAATTGAGGAACATCGTTAAAAAATTACCAAAAATCAATGGTAAGTGATACTTCAATCTTGCAATTTCTTATACAAAAATTTAATGGGATACAAAACTGCATACTGAAAATCTTTCTCTTCTTCTAATTAAAAAGCTGTACTTTTTTGTGAAAATATTTATTTTTATACGGATTTTGCTAAAAATAAGCTGTATTTAAAAAAAAAAATTAAATTATATATTATAAAAAGTCTTGTGGTGCGCTTATAATTTTGACACGGAGTGTATAACGGATGGTAACTACCCTGCAAAAATCGCGACTACTCCATGCATGCGTGTAAAGAGTACTCCCTAAGGACCAAGGAGTACTCCAAAATTAACCACAATTCATATAAAAAATATGGTCCAATTAACATTGCGATGTCCTAGGGCAGGACCATATACTCCATCCCTGCATTACATCAGAGTAGCACAAAACTACTCCAACATATGAACAATGGCATTGTTGTTATATTTTTTCGTTTGTACACGCTTTTGTTCTTCACTTCTCAAATGCTTTTTCGAAATTAATAAAAACAAAGACAAAAATTAGAACTTACATGTTGCTGGGAGCTAAGAACTAACAGCGAGCATCTCTACACGTTCAGCTACAGCCAGGCATGCAAATGTGCTTTCAAATGCTCAACTTCAATGAATGAGCAAAAATTTTCGACCCAAATTTGGAGGTTATGTTGAACTATGCTAACAATTTGGATTGGCAATCAATCTTTCATCCTACCATAAGCGGTTGCTTCCTATCGCCAGCCACTTATACCTGCCTATGAAGCTTCCTTGGCGATGCGTGGTTGTCGTGGGCCATGTAGCAAGACGCAACGTGCAGCGATTCATCGTTGACGTTCTTTAGCGTCACAACCGTCAAGTCGCCTGTGGAAAGATTGTTATCAATATAAGAGAATATTATAACAAATAAGTAGGAAGAATGTGTTCCGATCGTTTGGAATGAATAAAGAAACACGCCCTGTGTTTGCTGATTGGCGAAGACAGGGTTGCTTATTAAGAAATTTCTCTCTACCTTTCATGCAAGAATGATAGAATACAAGATTGCGCCGTCCTGGGCGTTGACATTTGTGTACCACAAGTAAACAAAGAATAGAGCGAAAAGAAGAACGAGTTGAAACAGCCAAAGCAGTTCACTTTACTGCGAAAAACGTGTTCTAATTTTGCTAAATGCGAAAAGATTGCATTTTTCACCTAATCTATTAGAGAACAGTGAACATTGTGGTGCACTCCATTGCTTTGCAATTGAGGCTGCTTCAGCAATCGTTTTAGTGCACTTTATTGCTTTGCAATTAAGGCTGCTGCAGAAAACTGCAGCAGCATCTCTGCGGGACTGATTAGTTAACTTGCTAATGGCGGCTGCGTGGAGCAGAAACAAAATCATTGTGAGGAAATGCTGTTAATATAATAATAGAGAAACATTTCGGGAACGGCTTTGCCGTGCCCTATGTACACAAAATGCAGCGATTCGTCCCAGCGCTACACTTGCATCTACGCTTCTTGCCTCTTGACGGTTGTCGCAATTTAACACACAGCACTTCATTGTATTAGTTTTTACGCAGTCTTCAACTCAAATATCACTCACAAATTGCAAATTAACACGATTTAAACTGATTTTTCCTTATAATTCAACTTTCTCTTTCGCTGATTTGTAAACAAAGGTTTATTTACAAGTTACCACAACTGTCAAAATCGGCAAAACCAAAGTAGCGGTACCACTGACGGCGCCACCTTTGTTCGCTGCACCGTGCCTTTCATGCTATTTCGCACACAAAGGCAGCACTTAAGTAATAGTGCCACTAAAAAAGCATCCTGAAACGATAATGAAATGATCGATTTGGTTTAACTTCACGATTGGTTAGAACTTGCAGGAAGTCGATCTTATAGACAAAAAACCTGTAACTGGCAACACTTCTGAGAAAGTAACTGAGCATTATAAACAAATGTTCTGTCTTAAAATGTGGTAGGTTTTAAGCCTTGGTAGATGTGGTAGAAGCCCAAATCAAAAAAAAAAACATGTGGTAGATATACTATTTATGTGGTAGAGGTTTATAAACATTGACAGTCGTGTAAAAAATTAAATTTTTTTATCTTTATTACAAAAAAAAAATAATTTTTATACAAAAAACACAACCGACTTCAATTCTCATATAAAAATTTAGAAGTACCGTTAATTTTTCATGATCCAATTATCGGATCTAAACCAAATTAATTTGGGCCCACCGGTAAGATACTACCTTTCCGATGGAAAAAGTATTATCGAAATCGGTTGAAGTGGTCCAAAGTTATGCGGTTATATACATAAAAAACAAAAAAATAAATATTCCGACGAATTGAGAACCTTCTCCTATTTTTGAAGTCGGTTAAAAAGGCGAAAAATTATTTACGTAAAGTAAACAAAATTTGATTTGAATTGATAACCTTCTTCTTTTTTTGAAGTCGATTAAAAAAGGAGAAAATTGTTTAAATACAGTAAACCAAATTTGGCTAACAAGCGAAAATGATAGATATTAATCGTTTCATGAACAGAATATTTTTCAAAAAGTTTTTATAACATCTGAAATTCTAGACTGATAATCAGAGACGGAAAATATCGTGCAACATTTTCAAAGGGTTTTTAGATAACAAAAGAACTACATATAACTATTCCAATCCTCTTTCGATTTTTAATTCCTCGTACAGAAAGCAAAAATTTGTGGTTTACTAAACAAATTCTTAAATGTTAAAAAAGTTGACAAATTCTCGTATGCCTCATTAAAAAAGACGTTATATAGGAGTTACTCATTGCTTACTTTACCATTTCACTTACTTTGCCTTCTTTGGAAATGACTAAGCATTTTTCAGCTTATGTAACGAAACTAATTGATTTGCATGCCAACACAAATCTTTTTCAAGCTGTCCGCTGTCACTCGGCGCATCACATACCAAATGCTCTTGTTTGTGATAAAACTACATACTTAAAAGTACATTACATGTCTGCTGGGAATTTCAATGCAAAAAAGTCTTCCCTGAATTTTGTAAAAGGCATTGACTTCAAGATATACAAAAATGAAATGTACTTACATATGTATGTATGAAATAATTGTTGTGCAGAAATAAATCAAATTCCGCTTTTGCCGCTTAGCATATTTTCGTCTTTTGCTGGTTGAACTTTTCACTTTCTTGGATTCACTCACGCATTCAAAGTATATCTTACGTTCGTACGTATTCGGATTCAGTGATAGGATCTTCGTAATTTGCTCAGTTTGATAAACTTGATTATTCAATATCCACATCGGTATTATAAAAACTGATAAATTTGAAAGCGAATATTTATGTAAGCATAATATGAGATAGAATGATCTATAAAAAATAAACGCGGTCTTTTACTAAAAAGTTCATTGTACCTACGTGATGCTACATATTATAATAAATAAAAGACAACTAAAAGGGCTATTACCGTTTCGATTCTGGTAATGCATTTTAAGGTGCACCTCAACGTTTTTTGAAATGTCAGTTAAGCTACTATGGCGCTCAAGGCCTCATATAATACATTTAAATATGTACGTATATAAATACATTTATATTCAATCTGTGTATATGTAAATAAGGAAGAATATAACAAAAATTTGTGGAGAAAAACAACACATATCTATTTTTGCCACGCACGCGTTTCAAAATACACTTTTCATAAAAACGCGCCATAAGCTTTTGTCTTTTGAACGGGATCTTAGCCGCAGAACAAAAAAGAATTATTAACAAGTAAGAGCAGCGCTGTCTTCGGCTATGCCGAAGGCTCCAGACCTTTCATGAGCATCTGAAAATTTTACGTTAACAGATTACTGCATTTGAAAAAATTTAATTTATATATTCACAGCAGACATAGATAGAGGAGATACATATATAAAAAATTCTAGCTAAACAATCAGAGGTATGGAAGATATACCTTATATAGCACCAATCTAAGTGATTTTCACTGCTGTGTGATCGGTACGTAAACCGGTAACACAATTTAATGGGTTTAGCTTCCTACATAAAGGAGATACATATATCGCAAAAACTGGTATCTGAACAATCAGTGGTACAAGAGATTAAGATTATACAGCATAGA